AAGGTTGAGTTACCAAAAAAATAAAACAATCCATTTACAATGCAAATCAGTCTCTAATATTAGCAAATAAAAGGTCCATTTACAATGCAAATCAGTCTCTAATGTTAACAAATAAAAGGTTCATTTACAATGCAAATCAGTCTTTAATGTTAGCAAATAAAAGGGATCGAACACTTATTTAATCTTTAATTTTAATTCTCAAATTTCTAATTTTTTTCAAGTTTGAATTTATTTTTATCAAATCAAGTATTAATTAAATGATAAAATATTTCCATACACAGTACAATTTCCATAAACAAATATAAAAATAAATTATAAAGATCAATTTAATATTTAAAAGACCAACTAAAAACAAAAACTAAGAGATAAATATTAAAAAAAAATTATTTTACCACGTAAATCCACAATGCAGCCTCTTACATGCTTCATTAAATCACTAATGCCTCTACATTTTTTTTATGAAATTATCTGTACTTTGTCAAATATAAAACTTCCTCTTTGCTTTAACTTCATCCCTGTTTGGCTAGTCAAGCTTCGAGGGGATGGAAGGGTGTGGAAATAGCCACTTTTGCTTAGCAAGGAAAAAGAAGCTTTCTGTCCTTTATGCTTTGCATTTTCCTTTTTGCGAACTCTATTGCCAATGCAAGCAGAATCTTCGGTCAAAAAGATTATCATGAAGCTTTTGGCCTTTTATTTATTTATTTATTATTATTATTATTAAAAAAGAAAGTGGTGACTCTTATGTGGGACTACTGCCTCTGCGCATGCATACATTAGTTTATTTACGAAAAATTGTTTATTTACGAGTTAATTATTAATAATATTCTCTGATTTGGTGATCAATCTAGTGGTTTCATGTCAAACTATATAAAAATTAACTTCATTAAATCTGAATAAAATAATATGCTAATTCAGAACTTCATTAATCCAATTAAAATTCAAGTAAAATTAATTTTAAAAATTTTAAATGATATCATTTTATTTATAAAAAATCTTAAAATAAAATCAATTTAGATTAATTTATATCAAAGTTAACCTGCAAAAGTAAGAACTAAAATCTGGAACAATATTATACATTGCACTGAGTTTTATAAATATATTTCACTGAATAAGCTAAAATTTCTCTAATAACAAGTAAAATTAAACATTCCCACTACCCTCTCATCTAGTGGTGGTGAAAGCCTTTAACAAGAAATGTAATAGATTTTTTTTATTTTTTTTTATTTTTTTTTGATATTATTGCATATATTTTTTAAAATTTATTTTTGATATTATTGCATAAAAAAATTTAAAAATAGCAAAAAATTAACTTGAACTAAAAAAAATAAAATTTATTTTTTAAAAAAAGTTTTAAAACACAAAAAACAAGAATTCTCGTTGTGGTTTTAAGAGCTGCTCTGTCCTGCCTAATAATTATTCTATATATATATAAAAAAAATTAAAAAGGGGATCATAAAGTCAACTCTTTATGTGGATGCATGAAGGCGTAAGAAGAGGTGGATGTTTATGTCTCAAAACAAATAAATAAATGAGTCCGTCCAAGCCTTCTAATCGACGTCCAGGTTAATAATGGAAGTTAATATTATTCTAATACGTCATTTTTGCTAATTAAATCACAAAAATATTAAAATATTTTCCTATATTTTTATGAATAAATTAGAAAGATGTTTGGCAATTTACAAAATAGCGAGAATAACATAACTCATTATAATATTTTTTTAATTATTTATTTTTGAAAACATTGATAATATTTTTAAATCCAATCTAGTTAGATAGATAAATTTAATGACTTGATAATTTAAAATTTAAATTAATTTAAGTTTTAAATTAAATAAAACTGTAGTTCATTCATTCAAATCAATTAATCTTTTCAAGATAAGAATTGTTTGATTTTTTTTAAAAATATTATTTTCATTTAAAAAAATATTATTTTAAATTTATTTAAATCAAATCATAATTAAATCTTCAAAATAAAATAATTATTATTTTAAGAAAATCAGGTGTCAAAACACCATTGATAATATTTTAAATCCAATCTAGTTAGATAGATAAATCTAATAACTTGATAATTTAAAATTTAAATTAATTTGAGTTTTAAATTAAATAAAATAGTAATTAATTCATTTCCATTAATTAATTTTTTCAAGATAAGAACTGGTTGATTTTTTTAAAAAAATATTATTTTAATTTTAAAAAATATTGTTTTAAATTCATTCAAATCAAATCATAATTTAATCTTTAAAATAAAATAACCATTATTTTAAAAAAATCAGGTGTCAAAACACCGTTGATAATATTTTTAAATCCAATTTAGTTAGATAGATAAATCTAATAACTTGATAATTGAAAATTTAAATTAATTTTAATTTTAAATGAAATAAAACAGTAGTTGATTCATTCCAATCAATTAATCTTTTCAAGATAAGAACTATTTAATTTTTTTTAAAAAGTATTATTTTAATGTTAAAAAAATATTGTTTTAAATTCATTCAAATCAAATTATAATTTAATCTTCAAAATAAAACAACCATTATTTTAAGAAAATCAAGTGTCAAAACAACATTGATAATATTTTTAAATCCAATCTAGTTAGTTAGATAGATAAATCTAATGACTTGATAATTTAAAATTTAAATCAATTTGAGTTTTAAATTCAATTAAATAGTAGGTAATTCATCCAATCAATTAATCTTTTCAAGATCAGAACTGTTTGATTTTTTTAAAAAAAATATCATTTTAATTTAAAAAAATATTGTTTTAAATTCATTCAATCAAATCATAATTTAATCTTTAAAATAAAATAACCATTATTTTAAGAAAATCAAGTGTCAAAACAGCATTCATAATATTTTTAAATATAGCCTAGTTAGATAGATATATCTAATGACTTGTTAATTTAAAATTTAAATTAATTGGAGTTTTAAATTAAATAAAACAGTAATTGATTCATTCCAATCAATTAATCTTTTCAAGATCAAAATTGTTTGATTTTTTTAAAAAAAAATATCATTTTAATTTTAAAAAATATTGTTTTAAATTCATTCAAATCAAATCATAATTAAATCTTCAAAATAAAATAACCATTATTTTAAGAAAATCAGGTGTCAAAACACCATTGATAATATTTTTAAATCCAATTTAGTTAGATAGATAAATCTAATAACTTGATAATTGAAAATTTAAATTAATTTTAATTTTAAATGAAATAAAACAGTAGTTGATTCATTCCAATCAATTAATCTTTTCAAGATAAGAACTATTTGATTTTTTTTAAAAAAATATTATTTTAATTTTTTAAAAATATTGTTTTAAATTCATTCAAATCAAATCATAATTTAATCTTTAAAATAAAATAACCATTATTTTAAAAAAATCAGGTGTCAAAACACCGTTGATAATATTTTTAAATCCAATTTAGTTAGATAGATAAATCTAATAACTTGATAATTGAAAATTTAAATTAATTTTAATTTTAAATGAAATAAAACAGTAGTTGATTCATTCCAATCAATTAATCTTTTCAAGATAAGAACTATTTAATTTTTTTTAAAAAGTATTATTTTAATGTTAAAAAAATATTGTTTTAAATTCATTCAAATCAAATTATAATTTAATCTTCAAAATAAAACAAGCATTATTTTAAGAAAATCAAGTGTCAAAACAACATTGATAATATTTTTAAATCCAATCTAGTTAGTTAGATAGATAAATCTAATGACTTGATAATTTAAAATTTAAATCAATTTGAGTTTTAAATTCAATTAAATAGTAAGTAATTCATCCAATCAATTAATCTTTTCAAGATCAGAACTGTTTGATTTTTTTAAAAAAAATATCATTTTAATTTAAAAAAATATTGTTTTAAATTCATTCAATCAAATCATAATTTAATCTTTAAAATAAAATAACCATTATTTTAAGAAAATCAAGTGTCAAAACAGCATTCATAATATTTTTAAATATAGCCTAGTTAGATAGATATATCTAATGACTTGTTAATTTAAAATTTAAATTAATTGGAGTTTTAAATTAAATAAAACAGTAATTGATTCATTCCAATCAATTAATCTTTTCAAGATCAAAATTGTTTGATTTTTTTTTAAAAAATATCATTTTAATTTTAAAAAATATTGTTTTAAATTCATACAAATCAAATCATAATTAAATCTTCAAAATAAAATAACCATTATTTTAAGAAAATCAGGTGTCAAAACACCATTGATAATATTTTTAAATCCAATTTAGTTATACAAATAAATCTAATGACTTTGATAATTTAAAATTTAAATTAATTTGAGTTTTAAATTAAATAAAACAGTAGTTGATTCATTCCAATCAATTAATCTTTTCAAGATAAGAACTATTTGATTTTTTTTAAAAAAATATTATTTTAATTTTTTAAAAATATTGTTTTAAATTCATTCAAATCAAATCATAATTCAATCTTCAAAATAAAATAACCATTATTTTAAGAAAATCAGGTGTGAAAACACCATTGATCAAAAGTTCAAAACATGAAAAACGATGCATAATTAGATCAATTGAAAACCCCAATTTTAGTATTTTTGGATAAATAATTTATAATTATTCAATTGATTTAAAAATTCAAAAATCTCTTGTGCGTGATCTATGAGGTAAAATAGAAGCAAAAAACAATACACTTATTCAGCGAAGAAAGTTGAGCCATCAAAATCGCCGAACCTCTTTGTTTCCCTCACACTCTCTCCCCAAAATTCAACGGCTGGAGTCAAGTTCCGCACAGAACCCGGGAACTCCAAACAGCCGTTGGTATTCTCTTTTTGTTGGAGCAAATTCAATTTGGCAAAAAAACCTCTCTTTTATCACTTTAACTGTCAAGTCACCCACTCAAATTCTATCACCATCACCATCACCATCACCATCACCATCACCATCACCATCACCATCACCATCACCATCACCATCACCATCACCATCACCATCACCATCACCATCACCATCACCATCACCATCACCATCACCATCACCATCACCATCACCAACAGCGAAACATTATATGCTTTGGCCTGTCCATCATCAAAAAGATCAGAACTGAAGAGGGTTCTTGTTCTTTTGCTAATGCAATCCCTTTGAACAGAAAAGAGTTGGGTTTTTTTTTTATTATTATTCTTGAACCACCCAACTGGTTCTTGGAAATTCCTTGTAGATTGTTTTGCGTTTGTGTTAACAGAAGATTGGCAAGAGTGAGAAAATGTTGAGCTTTAAGGAGTTTTGGACGAAGAAAACATTGGTGGCTCTTGGGTTGGGACAGTTTCTCTCTCTCCTCATTACTTCTACTGGATTTTCATCCTCTGAACTTGCTAGAAGAGGTGCAGCTCCAGTTTTCTTCTTTCTCAAGCATTTAATTTTTATGTCTTTTGCTTGCTCAGAACTCGTTTCCTTCTTTTCCCCCTGCGTTGTTATAGCTGTTTGTTTAGATGATGATGGTTGTCTTGCGAAGAAAATCTTGAGTTAGAATGCAAAATCTCAACTTTGTTGGTGTTTTTTTTATACTGTAGTATTCTAACTTGGTTCTAATTCAGGAATTAATGCACCAACTTCTCAGTCGTTTCTAAACTACGTCTTCTTGGCCATTGTTTATGGAAGTATTATGCTTTATCGGAAGCAAGCACTTAAGGTGAATTTCTTTGCTTCATCTTCTTACTTAAATTTTTTCTTCCATTTTTTTCCATTATTTAGTAGATGTAATTAGTATAGTATATAATTTAAGTGCTACTGAACTCGTTTGCTGAGTTTACTTCTATCACTGGAGCTTTCATGAGGGCTGGGAAGTGATTCATTAGAATTAATGTCTTCATTGGATGTTCGTATTTAAGCTGCAGGGATGCAGTGGACGGGTGTTAGAAGTTAGGCACATAAAAAATCGAAGGAAATTCCGCTTGGTCTTTTTTGAGGTGATAGGAGAGTTCCTGATGAAATAATTACTCGGGGTAGATTAGTGATGCAATATAAACCAATTTGAGTTTATAGCGAAGATTTTTTTGCTCAAATTTCTCTGTTTTCATCTTTCTTGACTGCAATTTTAATATTAGATGTTGATGTTTTTGGATCTCCTTTTGGAATTTGTGCAGGCAAAATGGTACTACTATGCTATTCTTTCATTGGTCGATGTAGAGGCCAATTTTCTTGGTGAGTCTTTACTCTACGGGTGCTACTGACTGGGTATATAGGTTATTTATTTTCTGCTCTCCTGTTAACTTTTTAGCTAAACATTTGTACTAACTATATTCTTCATTTGATTGTAATTTTTTTCTTTTACTAATCCTGTATTTTTAGTACTACGAGGTTAAAGAATCCTGAAGATGTACTAGGAAATTGCATATCTCTTGATTATAAAGCAAATAATCAATTTGCTACTGGCGATCTTTCACCGAAGCCTGTGCATTCTCTCTGATTAGTATCTAGTTGTGATAATATAAACGAGAGTAAAGTACTCCAAATAGATATTTCGCACCTTGTGGCAGTGTAAATCATGAAGCGGGTTACTTCTCACGAGTTCTCAGCAGTATGGAGTTGCATCTGCTGCTGATGTATCTGTTCTGCTACATGTTTTAAACAATTTGTAGAAGAATTGATAATGGGAACAAGTTATTCTAACTTGATGTCACTGACCTCACTGGCGCTTGCATTTTATATTTTCAGAAGAAATGCCACTTAGGCCTTTCATTAGTGAAGTATAAATAGTGAATTGTGATTGTTAAAGTGAATCATGCTTACGATAATTGATCTCGTCTCCATTCATGGGCAGTGGTGAAGGCCTATCAATACACATCGATCACGAGTGTCATGCTGCTGGACTGTTGGTCAATCCCTTCTGTTATGGTTCTTACATGGTTTTTCTTGAGCACAAAGTACAGGTTCAAGAAAATAGCTGGAGTAGTAGTTTGTGTTGCAGGCCTTGTTATGGTTGTTTTTTCAGATGTTCACACTGGTGATCGATCAGGTAACTTTGCCCTATCTCTTTAATTAATTTTTCTTTAGTGTTTGACTGATGTCTGTTCCATGACCTTAAGTTAAATCATAATGTAGCTTTTGGATGGAATATTTTCCAATTTCATTTAGCTGTCTTTGAGGATAGTATGTTATGTTCGTGTTTTGATAGTTTCACTCACTTGTAAGGTAGGCAAGGGTTTTTTGATTTCTCTCTCATTTCACTCTCTAAATGAATGTGCTAGATAGGAGAATAGTTTTGTTTTACTATATACATGTGTGCTTTAGTTCTTGTTCATGAACCTGTGGTTCCTTCTGGGATGTGGCCATTGATATATTGAGCGTGGAAAGATATTGAAAACAGTATTCCCTACAGCTATAAGACAACATTTTCTAAGGTATTATCAATCTACCTTGTATGCCCTGATTCTCCTTTCTGGAGATACTGAATGTACTTAAACTCTCATTTTTGAGATGCAAATTGTTGTTGTGTATAACATCTCGTAACCATTTCCATTACAGTTTTGTCTCATAGAATTGAATTTTAATCTCTTAACAAGTGGACTTCTTTTTGTAGGTGGGAGCAACCCTCGTAAAGGAGATGCTCTTGTTATTGCTGGGGCAACGCTGTATGCTATCAGTAATGTCAGTGAGGTAAGCCAAATTGCATAATTTTGTCTAGTTGAAAATCAGTGCTTGTTCTCTGATCCTCCATGCTGCTTCCATTTGGTAATTGTTCTCTCATGATCTTACTTTTTCAAAGAAGTGTTACTGACTTTTTGTTTAGCTAATTATAACGTGTATAAATTGATAGTCTTAATCCAACTTTTTTTTTAAGTTTAGGTTTTCAGTTTGGCCTTGGAGGCAGGTTAAAAATTTGTCACCCTCCTATTAATATGTGCTGCATAACTTTTTCATATAAAAACGGCAACCAAAAACAAAAAGGAAAAGGAAAACACAGAGAAACATGGTGCTTGGCTTTTTTCATTTGAGGTTTAGGTCTGATTTTTTTTTTTGGAGAGTGATTTAGGTCTGAAGTTGATTTTCCAGATATTGGTTAGAAGATTTCTTATTTATGAATTGTAAATAATTGTTCTCTTAAATAGTTTAAAGTCTTAGTTTTTATTCATCATTTCAAGACAATGGGGGCTTAAAGCAATACAGATATTAAGGATATAAATTGTTATACTTGTCACAGTAAATAGAAAAGGTTTATCTTCATTTATTTCCTTCTGTTATGCAGGAGTTTCTTGTAAAAAATGCTGATAGAGTTGAGCTCATGTCGCTTCTGGGCTTTTTTGGTGCCATAATCAGTGCCATTCAAATGTATCCTTAACTTAATGGCTAAGGTTGATGGCTATGAGGAACATCAACCTTTCTACTGATGAGTTGCTTTAATTTATTCTGTGTAAATTGTCTACGATCGACTTTAAAACTTCATGATATCCAAAACTCGTGATCACTTTGGCTAACTTGATCGTGCTGTTCAATGTTGGCAAATTGTTTAATTGCTTTTGGCAATTGTATCCCTTAGTGATATCTACAGAAGTATTCTGGAGCGCAACGAAGTTAAAGCCATTCACTGGTCAGCTGGGGCAGTATGTTTCTTGTCCATCCTCTTCTTCCAAAGCATATGTATCTTACACATGTTTTTCCTTTTATTCCTGTTCACTTGACTCAGCAATCACAATAGAATGATAGCTTGACATCTCATGTTTAATGGTTCTGTATAGGTGTTGTCTTTGTAATTTGCTTCTGGTGCAAGATGATTCTTAACCAAAATCAATTCAAATACACACATATAATGGCTCAGACGAAAAACATTCAAGAGAAAGATATGAAAATGAATGTGGGAATTTAAATATTCAATTATTATCAATTGGTCTGACATTGTTAGAGAATTGGTTTGTCTTTAAATTTAATACATATGGAAGTGTTGAGGATTATCAGGGTTAGAGTTTAACTTTTCATGTTTGCTTTATGTTATTGGTTTCAGGCTCTTCCGTTTTTTGGATTTTCAGTGGCAATGTTTCTGTTCTACTCTTTAGTCCCGATCTTGCTTAAGGTATGGATACGAGTTACCATAGAACTAACTAAAACTTTGTAAGAATGTGGGCTGCTTTTGAATTCAAGAACTTGAAATTGTAGTTTGAAGGGCGATGAATGATTGTGAGCTACCTCTTTGAATTGAAAATCTTTTTCAAAATCTGTAACTTACATGCATTAGATTAAAATCTTCTTAGCATCTAAAACACCGATTATGTTTGTTGAAATCTGTTTTTATCCCTCATATACACTACCAATGGTTAATTTTGGTTTCGCTTTTTTATTAGTCATTAATCACTTTCTAAATTAATGGTGCTTTTCATTTGTTACTTTATCATCCATCGATTTTTAGCACAAATTTGATGTTTTGTGAGATGGTGCCAAGCCAACCATTAAATAGGACATGAATGTGTGAGGAATGCCTACTTTTCAACTTATGTAATCTGTGATGGTTTGGTGCTAGCATGAAAGGAGCTAATCCATATGCATCAGTTGTGCTTCAGTTATTGCTCAAGCCTGTATTTCTTAACTGATTTTGACATTAAAATTTTATTCTAGACTATCAAGCTGCCATCACCTTCATCCTATGTCTTAACTTCAGAGGATTTGTATTTTTTTTTTTTTTACTTGTTTTTCACCAGCCCAGTAAGGGTACCCATCTTATAATTTGTCATAATTGCAACTTTTTAATACTTGCAACGGTAGCTTTTGGACAAATGTGAAATTCAGTGTGATTATCAGAGTTTTATTCAGTGCTAGATGGCAAGAGTTATTTAGACTGACCTCATGGATGGTTTATATTAGTGCGTGCATATGCTCACCTAAATATTCTAACTCCCACTATTTACAGATTAGTGGTTCCACGATGCTCAACTTGTCTTTGCTGACATCAGACATGTGGGCTGTTGTGATTCGCATCTTTGCTTATCATGAGAAGGTTTGTTAACTAATAACATAGTATGAATGTGAGAATTCTAGTATCATGCAAGTTCAAATGTTAACACTTGGAATTTTCTCACTGATGGGAATTTTCTCATTGATCAGGTTGATTGGATGTACTTTGTCGCCTTCGCTGCTGTTGCTGTTGGGTTGATCGTTTATTCTGGGTATGCAACTTTTTGGATTTTGCTTTGAATATTTCTCTTCTTTTCATATGATAAATTCATAAGAAAAACAGAAATCTTTGGCTTTGCTGTTTACCTAAGCTCCTTCATCAGGAGCACTAACTAGCAAATGAGTGAAGTTCTAGTTTGAATGAACTGTATGTCCTTACAAAGCTCAACCCTGTTAGGGTTAGAGAGGTAAGATTATGGAAAATATTTTGGATGAAGTAGGTCTGACAGACTTTTGATACAAGGTTCAAAAAATGGTAATATTTAGCCATGTTAGGTTTGTACACTAGCTTTGCGTAGTTAAGGCTACATGAAACGGACCTTGATGGTGTTTGAGTGGTTAGGCTATTCCCAATTCTGTCATGTTAAGGATGCTCCATTCATTTTAGCTGCCCTGGTCCATCATTGTAAGTTACTTTTCTATGAAGACACTTATCTGCAATATTCTTCATGCTTTGAGGATAGGCTAACGTGTATTCACTGGAATTGGAAGTTAGAATTTCCAGGTTTTTTCTTTCTTTTCTTTTCTTTTCTATTTTTCTTTTTATTTTTTTGGCATTTTCTTAGCTTGTGTTTAGTTCATGGTTAAAAATTGGAGGTTAAATTTTAAGAGGTCAAGTGTCAAGGGTTTAAAAAAGTAATTGAAGGGTAAAGGTTAAGGATGTTTGGTAGATGCGTAAAAATTGTGTAATGATGGGACCCAATTTATTTTAAATATAAGTTTAAGTTAAAAGAATTAGTTTTCGTGAAGGTTTAATAGTGTCACAATCTATGATTACAGGATGGTCTCTATTCACTGTCTTTATCTATGAATGCCGCTATTCTTTACATAATGTGATAAAAAGTGTGTTAGTATGGAAGCTCTATGCTTCCTAAACCACTACTTTTTCACGGACAACTCAGTTTAGGAAAATGACTCGCTGGCATGCAGTTGAAAAATGTCTGATATCTCTGAAATTTCACTCTGGTGCACGGGAATGAAAATGAATATCACCATTCTTGTCATGTGGTCTCCATCTCATCCTTTGGTAACATGATGATCGGTCATTTTATCTCTTCTGTTAGCAAACCATATCACATGTGCCCACCTCTTATGTTGTTTATGCAGGGGTGACAAGGAAGAGGATCAACACCATGCTGATGCTGGTGATGAAGATGTGGAAAGAAGTAAACATTTCGACGAGGAGGCTTGTTCTGGAAACCGCGGTCAAAAAACCATCCCTGGGAGCTCAAAAACCAGGGATAGTAGTAAGCCTGATATTGCTAGCACCAGCATTGCAGATGAGCAAGACATTGAGAGCAAGAATGTGGGAAAAGATGTGTGGGGGAAGAAGTCATAATAAGGCACTAGACGCAGATAAAACTCGAAAAACGAGCACATGGGAAAAGTCTCAGGAGCTAAAAATCGTAATGCAGGATCTGCTTTCAGGGATTAGAAAGAGCGCACGTATCACTGCTGCTCCAACAAACTATAGGTGTCAGCTAAGTTGGGGGTAATGGTTAGCAGAAAAGTAGGGGGGGTCAATAATCACCAATTTGCAGCTTGAAGTAATTTTTTATGCATAATTGCAGTCCTTATTTTCGTAACTTTTTACGTTGTATTACACGTTGTTGCCTTACTCATATCATCGGTCAAAATCTAAAGTATATTCTTAACCTCTCTTAATGTTTAGAATGTTTTGGGATTTGTTTCACCAACTTGACAAGTGGTTTCATGTCAGAAAACTTTTTAGCTATTTTTGTGGGGCAACAGCAAAGGATATTGAACTTAAATGGCAAAAAAAAAAAAAAACCAAGAGAAGCATACCAATTTCTCTATATTTGCTTCCTGGTCTCACCAGCATGTGTGGCTAAAGCTTAAACATCGTAAGCGCATAACCAAAGATTTTTGCCACCGCTCCCTCGTTCCCACCCTCGAGTTGTTCGTCTAGCTTGAAAACTTAAAGAATGATGGATTGGGGTGCACAGCATAAAGAAATTATGTCAATAAGATTGGATGAACAGATGAAATAATGTACAAATATGTTAGTACAACGACCTTTTGCTGACAAATCTCCAGCAGATTAAACAAACGGAAGAAAAGCGAGCCACCAAGCGTGGACTTTATTATAAAAATTAATCACTTGTTCCCTCGTCAAGGTTAGAAATACGAGTCACCAAGCTCTTCTTCGTGAGTTTTAAACTTTTTTCGGCGAGCCCTGGGGAACAACAGCTGATGAATCTGCTTTTGTGCAGCAGTTTTACAGGTAGCCTGCAAATTATATAGACAAAAAATATCAACAGACGGGCAAACTTTGGTCCTGGATAGAGTGTCAAGACATTCATCAATCCATGTCATCAATCTGAAGAACAATGAACGCCTCTGTTGACTTTCGAAGCACCAGAAAAACTTAAATCTTCCTAGCTTGTACATGTGGTCGGTACTTGTTTTCCCGCATAAGTAAAAAGGTGGCAAGAAAATGCACATGAATGCAAGCACACATTGCCCTTATAGTACATGAAACGTTCAACTCATCAACCAGTTACATTTCCAGTGCCTCTCATATAAAAGAACTCACATGTGGAGTAAACAACCTTACATCAGAGGGCAGAAGATTGTACCACTATAATGAATTCTACAGAAGTGCTCAAAGGTCAAGTTTTCAGAGAAACATCCATAGTTTCCCACAGCAGTGAAAAAATGAATGAAACAAAAGCTTCTGACCCAGGCTTGGAAATTCCAGCAAATGATGTTGAAAAATGAATGAGGCACCTTCCAGCAAAAAGCAATAGCGAGAATGATGTTTAAAGAAAAATTAGAGAGCTATATGGCACTTGATTGGTACCCAAAACACAAATATGCATCTAGCTAGAAGAAAGGCACTTCAAAGAAAGATTTGCAAAATACTTTTGAAAAGGTCAAGAGGAGAGTGGTTGACATCTCACAAAACATATCACGTGATGTAAAATTTTCAAAGAGAAATAGTATGGCTAATGCCGAGGGACATTTTTGGAATGAGAAGTAACTACTATGCAATATTTCAAAAGAAGTGTTGTACTTTATGGACCAATTTCAAAAGAGATGAACATGCATTAAACATGCACATAAAATACGAAAGGTAAGATGGTTTTCCGGTGAAAATTTAAGCAAATAACACTACTGATTTTTACAAATGCATGATGCAAAAGAACTTATTCAGCATATTTGACACTGTTTCAACTTTGGTAGGAACCAGACAATTTGAACAGTTACAACTGTACATTCAGATAGGCTTTCACATCAGAAAATCTATTACCTGACATAACCTGGATAAGTCATTTTCTATTCTACACATCTCAACTGTGCCTTAGATTACTTACCCGGACTTTGAAGGGAAATCGATGAGTTCGTGCTTCCACCCCAGAGAAAATTCTAACATCCATGCCAAGGCTATCAACCCCAACCAAATTAGCTCTCTGTATAAGATCAAAGGGGTGCAGACAGTAAATAACTGATCTTAAGCAGGAATGCAGACAGAAGTTTCTCATAAACACTACAGAAGTGTCTTTTCTTAAACAGAGATACACGAATGTTGCAAATGAGACTCCAATCAAATCCCTATTTCTAATTTTCATCGCAATAATATGATAGACTGGTGTGGTTTTTTTCAGCAAGCCTGATATGGTTTACTATCAAACAAGACCTGATTGAATAGTGCAAAGGCAAGATGCATATTTTGACATCCACTTTCATTCCGATTAGGTTTTTATAGCTTATAAATTAAAACACAAGGCAAAACGAGTTAATTTCTACTAATAAATTTATAGCTTCTCTTTAATAAATTTATAGCTTCTCTTTGGAAGCTTATTGTTTGATAAATTTTGCCTCTCTTACAGACTCAATTGCATATTAGATTGTGTTTTGCTTTTGTTCTATCTCAGGAAGCAATAGAATAAGATTTGCGAGTGATTTTAAGGCATAACATGGAGGTCAAAGAATTTTGCAAAACTGGTGATAAGGAAGAGATGAATCGTTCAAGAGTCCTATTATGGAATTGTTACAACATTATTTTTTGCGGTCAGAATATTTCTCATAGACAATCTATTCATAAATGCATTCTTGGTTTTCAAGAATTTTCTGACTGCAAGTTACTTGACAAAACATTTTGTAAGTGGTTGTCAAAACTTGAGACCCATTGTGAGTTTAATGAGATTCCTGAAGATCAAAGGATGAAGCTTAGCTGCAAACTTGACGATGATGTGATAGAATGGTTAGATCATATTCAATCTTGTTCAGTTTGACCAGGCAATTTTGTTCTGCCTCAAAATGTTGATGCATGTACAGAAGAATGTGAATATAAGGAAGCAAATTCAAGATTTCAACAATAAGTTGAATGGTTGAACAAAGAACTTTTTGGCTCCAAATTGTTGTTAAAAACAGATTTAACAATCAAGAACCTGTTATCATGGTCATCCAGGATACTTTTCTGAAAGAGTTTCAAGAAGGAGAGAAACAGAACAAAATAAAGTTTTGGGCTCAAGTCAGTAAGAAAGCAAAAGATGCAGAATTTATTGAGAGAAGAAACAAATCAGTAGTGGGTCCTATTAGATCTGAAGCTGATCCTGTAACCAATAATTTTGATTTTCTGAGTATCAACAAGCCACCTTGGTTTGGAATTTTCTTCTCCATGACCATCCATTTATTGATTTTTCATGAAAGGTTTCAAGTTAAGCGACTTTATAAAGATGTTTTAAGCACTTCATTTGATGTTTAATGTGGAAAGCTGTAATTATTTTTCTGTCATTAATGAGAGTGCAAGGTTTTCTTTTTCAAGTGAAGGGTTTAGAGAAGTGTTGACAACCAAAAGAGAACTAAAATAATGCTACTTACCTTTGAGTAGCTTGGACAGCATACAAAGACAAGATAATGAAGTTATCTTTTTTATCAGAGGTTTGTTAGCAAGTGCCTATGACACAATTTCAACACATCCAAGTGAACAAGAAATGTGTTCTACAGATCATAGCAAATAAACACGCTGCGTACAGCTTGCACAATATCTGATACAAGAAACCAGAAATATAGAGGGATAGCACCCAAAAGCATTTATTTACCTCAACATGAAGACCCTTCTTCTTCTTGCAAAGAGCTTTAAGAGCAATATTGCATCTACTTCCCTTTTCATTAAAGTGCTCTAAAATTGCTGGAGTCGAGTGTACAAGGACATCAGGCTCTGCTTCTTGAAAATCTTGTAAACTAACCACAGACTGCAATATCCAAAGAAATGCACTGTTGTAATAGAACAACATTGAATTGTTAAGTGTGGAAACCACTGCATAAACAAATTATAAAATGCTTTCCCTCCAAATAGAATTTAGTAATGGGTGAAACAATCTATCATTCCAAAACAGATGCCTTAATTAAAAAAAAAAGCAATCATATGTTTTGTTTTTTTGTTCACGTGTCTTAATTATATTTCAAAGTAAAATCTATTCCTACTAACCCTGTGAGCTGGGCTTCCAACCACCCACACGAAAACATAAAATGTCATGCAGGTTATGATTTATGTTCTACAAATATGGTTATAAGTATGTACCTGAGATCCATACAATGAAAATAGCTCTATTCTCATGATCTCCAAGCAATGGAGAGTTGAACCAGAGCTGCTTACATCACTTTTGGAGTTAAAGCTCAAAATTTCTGTGTCTACAGAGGCAAAAAGGATATATGTGTGATGGAATAATTGCACAACAACATCACAGGCATGTTCTAATGTAAATGAGAGATGGCACCAACTGAAAAGGATGTTCTTGAATGCTCAGGTTTACACTAAATATCTAGAGCTACCCTTGATTGAATAAATACAGTTCATATTTTTAAGTGGTGAAAAGTTACATGAGAACCATCAATGAAGAGTGTAGGCTGGGAAGCTTTCCATTCCAAAAATCAGCTTGGTGCAGCTACACGATGCAATTATTTTGTTCCTTAAATTACCCATCTGATTTTAGTATCCCCACCAGCCCCACTCCACCAGTGTGTGTCAACTAAAGGTAGGTCCATTACATGAAGAGTAGGAATGAAGAACAGTAAAAACAGCATAAAAAATAGAAACATAGCTTAAGCATGAGTAGAATTGAAGTTGGAATAAAGGAATGAGATTTAGGTTTGATGAAAACCTCTAACTTATGTAATTGATTGATTGAATAAGTTGTCTGGTAAAAATCCTCCTAATAGCTGATCTGCACTAGTTAAATGTTCTCAATCATAATTGTTACAAAAATAAATTAATTCTTATCCTAATTGACTAATATTATTAAAAGTCAAATGCTAGTAACTTCACAACTAGAAATCCTATAAGGATTCCTAACAAAAAAAAAAATCAATAAGCAAACTTTAGAAGTTACATTAGATGGTTTAGCAAGGTAAGCATAACCACAAGATACCTTTACGGTCTGAATTATAGCCATCACTATCCTCACAGTGAAACGACGTTCTTAAGTATAATTCTTCATCAGAAAAAGCTGGTCTCAGACAACCCACAATAGAAACACCATTTGATGGATGGTCCATTTTTCTATAGTATTCCATATTGATTGCCTGTGAGGATGCAAGCATTCGGTAAATTAAAACAGTAAAAAAAATAAAATAAAAGAGTAGGTCTAATTTCCTACTACCCTTTTGCAGCACTGCCATCCTTCTAAAGTTGATCTATATCATTTATCATGCACCTAACTCAATCAATTCACTCCTGACCTAATTTGTGGCACAGAAAGAAC